ACATAAAGAAAGGAATTTGCATCCAAGCCTTTGTTAATGAAGTAAATGCCCCTAAGACAAATACTTCAAAAAAAAAGTAAAAAAAAAAAAAAAAAAAAAAAGCGCAGTTTGGCCCAGAGAAAAACTTACAATGTGTATACCCACTATATACACATTTATAGATATACTGCAATTTAAATCACGTACATAGTCATTAGACAATTAAATGAACTGGCTCAGTAAAGTGAAAGTGTTTTCTATCAATATTTACTTATTGCTAATATGCTATGCACTATGCACTGACATGGGAACTGTAATAATTTAGAAAGTGAAGCTGCCACATTGCCAGTGTTACCCCTCGCAGTAGGCTTCAAACTTTTTTTTTTTTTTGGTACCAGGGATCGAACTCAGGACCTTGCACTTGCAAGGCAGGTGGCGGAACCACTGAGCTAAATCCCCAGCCTGGCAGTAGGCTTCATATGGACAACACACCACCAATTCCTGAAAAAAAGCAAAATACCACTACCAAAAATTTTTAAAAAGGCTTTTGCACTGTCCCTTACATTTTCGCTTATTTTTTTAAAAAACAAAAACAAGTCCAGTTCACCACAAGTTAAGCACAACCTGACAAGCAAGTTTAGCCACAGGATGGGGAGAGAAGAGTGAAATTACAGCATGCATTTACAACTACTGCTGGTTTAGTCTATTCTGTCATACAAACTGGAATACAAAAATCCAATTTAAATAAGACTAGACTATCATAGTTAAAAAAAAAAAACCACAGTAGACTTAGTTTGATACTGATTGGTTTGAAGAGTAAAACTCATCTTGTCTCCTCTTAATACTCTACTACAATTTATTTATTGATGGCTAGAATATTTACTTAAAAAAGATATTAAATACCTGTATCATGAAATTACATTCTTATTAACAATAAGACATACTGTGTAAGAAAATAGCTCATGTGTGAAATGTGTCTGAAATGCATTTTTCCTTACAACTATCAAAACATCCACTCACACTAAAACAAAATCATCCCCACCCCACCCCACCCCTGAAAAAACTTAAGGAAAGATAGGGTGGGGGCTAGGCAAGGAGCAGGGAAGGAAAGATTTAGCTATACTAATTACAGCACAGTGATTAACAATGGTTCAAGACAGAACCAACAAGAGTTGGTCAAAAAGATGCCTTCAATACATGGCTCCAATTAAAAACCAAACTCGGCCACTTTTGGTTCATTGCAGTGAGACCAAAAAAATATCTCTCACAGATTCATATAAATACTAGACTTCAGCTCTATTATTATTTTTTAAAAGTTTTTCCCATTTGTTTTTGCAAGGCCTAGCTACCTTATTACAATTTGTATTTGTTCTGCAACAACTACAAGAGGTAGGCATAAAGCATGAAAAAGTTTCTCAGTTAGTACCTCATGGTGGGGTGTTCAATGCACAATACAATCCACTTTAGACAGGAAAGTCATGACCTTCTAGTCTTTTCTACCTCAAATAAAGCTGCCCTGCAGTCATCCCACCCATACACATCCTAAAAGAGTGTACCCACAAATAAGAAACTTTCTCTACTGAAGGATACTGTCATAGTGTTTGCCGCAGAGCATTCATATATATGTATATATTTATTTGTTTAAAAAAATAAACAACAATAAAAAAAAAACCTGGGTTCCTAGAACCAATTCTCTTGATTCTCTACTTCCACAAAATAAAGTGTTCATTTGGCCAAGACTACAGATGTGTTTTGTTTTTTTTTTTTCACAGATGCACGTGCCATGCAAAATAAATTAAAGGACAGATACCAAAACATACATGTGATAAAAACTATTGAAGGTAGATCTTTAAAAGCATTTATATAAACATAATTTATAATACTTTTTTTTCCTGTATATACAGTCACAAAGCTGTGGTTATACATCTAGGATTTCTTCTGCTGTACCTCCACAGCGCAATCTATAGCGACCAGTTCTCCAGCTTATAGTAGGGTCCCATAATGCTGACAAAAAAATGTATATTGTCATAGATTCACGGATGAACCAAGCAACTGCATAATCAAGTTTTGAAAAACATAGCGTGCCACCCTAGGAATGAAAATAAACAAGAACTAAGTTGCTTGTTGGCAGGATAAAGACACAGTTAAAACATGAAATTTTTGGATTTCATTCTTCTAGGTCTAGTAAATAAAATAAAGTCAGCTTCCTCACGTAATTTTTTTTTTTTGGTATCAGGGATTGAACTCTGGATCTTGCGCTGTGAGGCAGGCAGCGGAAGCACTGAGCTAAATCCCTGGCCCTTCCTTAGGTAATTTAATTGCTATGCAATACCATTTAAGAAAATGTGAATTATTAGTAAAACCAGTATTAAAATAACTACTATCTTAACACATTCCTGCTTTGAATATTTGTTCATTTAACATCATTTTTTGGGAGCCTTTATAAAAGTGGCTGTATAACCAATGGAAAGTTGCAAACCAAAATGTTATACCACCATTCTACTCGGGAAAGTAACGTTTCAATCTGGTATTAACTTTCAGTGGGAAGTTGAAGAATGGTTCAGGTAGATTTTCTGTAACCTTTTCAAAATTAAAATAGTTTTAGTTTACCAAATGACTGCCAAGCTTTTCATGCCTAAACACATACCTGGACACCCCTGAGTTGAATGTAGTCAAATATAAACCATGCCAGGCAATGACACATGAAAAATACCATGATGTCCCATCTGAATACGTGGTGAGCTGCCCATCCAATAATTAAACTGGCAACGAAGCATTCTGAAATTGGCTCACAAATTATTGTAGCAGGAAGCATGTTAATTCTCAATTTGGTCCACCTAAAAAAATAAAAAGGATTTTCTTTAAGACAACAGCCTGGTGACAAGACTAATGAAATTTACTCCAAAATGATCACTCTTCTACCTTATTATTTTATAAAATCCTTCCTCTTTAAAGAGCTTTGGATTTGTTTTGATGAAACTCTTCTCTATTTTTATTTGGTATATTTTTAAAAAATCTATAAATCCATTTGCATGCCTTATATTCTGATGAGTACAGATTATAAAATCTGATCAAAGGGCATTAAAAGTTAGGAAATAAGAACAGCATATAAAAAAAGTCAAAGACTCAACCCGGGCATGGTGGCACATTCCTGTAATACCAGCTACTCAAGAAGCCGAAGCAGGAGAATTCTAAGTTTGAAGGCAGCCTGGTAAACTTAGTACTTTTAAATAAATGAAGTCTCAATGTCTCTTTTTTTAATATTTCAGTGTTATACTGCAAAGAAAATACATTTAGACATTCAGTTTATTTTAATACAGGAGCTTAAAACTATTTTCTGAAACTAAACTGAACAAAAATCTGACCTTTAGATGTATTTTTAAAATTATGTTAGACCATGTAAAAATTACATCCCCTCATTTTTTTTTTTTTTTGTTGTTAGTACTGGGGATCGAACTCAGGTCCTTGCTCTTGCACAGCAGGCGGCGAAACCACTGAGCTAAATCTCTGGCCCCCCTCTTGTTTTTTTTTTAAAAGTATGAAAAGATGACAGTTGATTTACCTGATCATTCTGGATTGAAACTGAGAAATTGAATATGAACCAGAGTTTTGCATTGCAACTTGAGTGGACATTGCAAACCTCCAACCTCTGAAAATGAAGATAATTATAAAATTATCTATGATGATGAACACATACAAGCCTGACTGGATATGTATTCATTAATCGTGGTAAGAGGAAGCAACTGCTGGTATTCAGGGTGAACCTAGTCTTCAGTCAGGATCGGCACATTACTTAAGAATATTTGAGCAATTACATTGGCTCAAGATAGGGTCATCTATAAGCTGGAAGAAGTGCAGTCATTCTGAAAGTACTCAATGAACAGAGTTCTGTATTTAAGAGTTTAGTCTCTGATCACTACTACCTCTTCTTCCCTGAAAAAGATATGTAGGTGTGTGTGTGTGTGTATTTGTATATGTGTATTCAATAGGAAATAAAAACAAATGGCATTACGTGTCCTATGGAAGACAACAGATCATGAACCACATAAACACTATTGTAAGAGAATTTAGAAAATATACTTCAATTTTTAAAATGTTTTTAGTAAATTATCATGCAAAGCAATGATTTTTATAATTAAATAAGTCTTTTCTGATAAAGAAAATACTGTTAGCCCTATGGAATCACAAGGTGGCTTCTTACCAAAGCCATCAAATAATTTGCTGACAAATGTCAAATTCTGAAATGATATTTCTATTAAAATTTTATCTGGTATAATATGCTTGACTATTCTGATAGCTTTAATTCTTCTAAAACAGAAATTCACATCTATTCTAATGAAAATGCACAATCACAGAGAAGCTTTTTAAAATCACATCAAACCACATTAATTGGAAGAATACAGAGGAATCAGTACATTTACTAAACATTAATATATAATAATTAAAATGAACTGCTTTACCAAAATTAAAAACCTATTCTGCATTCACTAGCAAAAATATAAAATGAAATAAAATTAAGAAGTCCTAGTCCATCATTTGAACAGAAAGAATAAACCAACCGAAGTACTAAAAATACTACGGCTAACTTTAGTTTTCTTACCGGTCAGCTATTGCTTTGGCCATAAAGTAGTCTTCAGCAATGTATTGAGCAAAAGCTATAAGCCCTCCTGCTTGATCTAACACATCCTTTCTCATTAAACAAGACATTCCTGTCACACATTTGAAACCAGTTACATTGGCAGAGATATAGGACCTTGGATGCGAAGTTCCAAAATACACCTGCCCAAAAAAACACAAAAGTATACATTTAGAATTTTGTTAAAAGTATGGTGTAAGTTCTTTTTCCTAATGATTTTCTTTAAATTTGACTGAATATCTTATTATTCTTACATAAACTACCTGAATAAAAGGTGTACACTGTGGTGTGTACATATAGCAGGCCGTCAGCAGTATGGTTGACTACTCTTGTTATCACCATTACAAAGAAATATTTACCTCAAAAGGAAGAAGCTTATTCTATTCTCAAATAAATACTGTCTTCTCTAATACTGTAAGACTCAAAGATTTAATCTAGATACAAAATAAAACAGGTAAAAATAGGCATGAAAATATTACAGGTTTTTAATGTATCCTATTTTAGGATGCTTATGTAAAAACATGTACAAAACATAGGATTTACTTAGTTTATTTGACCAATATACCTGCATACACATACAGTTCTATGTATATGCATGTATGCTTATATAATCCCTTCAGGATTATTCTATTTCTTAATTCCTTCTCTTGAAAGGTTTCACAATTGGCTTCTGACTCTGAGTCAGTAAGATTCTCCCCATTTTCCCTAATTTTGTTTTCTACTGTATTTTTCATTAATAAAGTGGCTACTGAAATTTTATCTCCCATCTCTTACTGCCCTTCTCTAGAAATACTCTGAATTCATGATAGTATGTAAGGTGATAAATCAGTTTTGGAAAAAGCTTGTCATCATTCCACTTATTAGACATAAAGCCCTATTTATTGTTCATGCCTCAGATATACTGCCTTTCTAATTAGCAGTGAAATAAAGAGCGGTGATCATTCCCAATGGTAGATATGTGCGCATGTACGCATGCACGCACACACACCAACAAACACACAACAAACACACACACACACACCAACATGACACACTACAGAACAAGAGAATTCTAAGGGGTAACTAAGAATATAATTCTTGCTACCTACCCTAAGCCTAGGCTCCACTGAAGCCAAAGTGTTTGGAGGGCTGAATCAAACAGCTTCTAAGACCAGAATCATACATCATAATCCCTTAAACAGTTATTAAACAAACAAACAAACAAACAAAAAAACAAAATGAGGGCCGGGGATTTAGCTCAGTGGTTCTGGCGCCTGCCGCGCAAGCACAAGGTCCTGAGTTCAATCCTTGGTACCCCCAAAAAAAAGTTAATATGGGAGAAGGTTCTGAAGTAACAAAAATAAGATACAAATTGTTTTTAGAGTCCTATCTCAATTATATTTCTTTACAAAAAAGCAAAGTGCCAAAATGTTAAAACAAAAACAATTTAAATTTTCTCAAATTAGTAGAGGAATGAGTTATAATGGTTTGTTTTCATTTCTTATACTTTTTTTTTCTGGTACAGAGGATCAAACTCGGGACCTTGCGCTTATGAGGCAGGTGCAGTGCCACTGAGCTAAATCCCCAGCCCCATTTCTTATACTTTTACATAATTTATAAGAAAAGGTTGAGGTATAGAGCAGCACTGATAAGAGAGGGAGAGATTAAAAAATTTCTCAGAAAATTACTAGAAATCTACTTTAAAAGGAAATAAATGTATTTTAGAAGGACTTGTATGAACAAATTTTTTGTATACCTGAAATATTTCCTGATGTTAAAAAAAAAGTTGTTTTCAGTTTGAATCTTTGAAAGAACAGATTTTTTTATGTAAGTCAACAGTCTAGAACAAACTTCTAGAATGAAAGTGAGGATCACAGCACCACAGAGGCCTCCTCTGCACAGCTACCCACAGCTCTGTGGAGTTAGTCAAGTTATCCCAGGGGCCTAAGAATTTCCCGTAATGAAAACAGCTTCTCTCACCTTGAGGATTCTAGTTCACAGAAAACTCCCAAATGCACTTCATACAATTAACTTCAGGTAGCCAATCCCAACTCTCAGAATTGTCTCAAGCTTCTAGGAGATTAGAGATCTAACAACGCCAGTGTTATTTATAACCACCACACGTACCTGTTCTAACGTAGCAGCAAAGCCTTGTCGGTCTGCTACATAAGGCAGCCCGTGAACCAAGCCTACTTTTTCTGTCATTTGATTAACCATATCAGTTAGTGTGTCTGGAATTACTAAAATTAAAACAAAACAAAACAAAAAAGGTGGGGAGAAGGGAGAGAAAAAATTACTTTTTAGTAAAATGCCACTAATGTAAAATATTACTTTGTGAACTATTACTAAATTATAATAGAAATAAATTCCTTTTAATATATGGATTGAGTAGATGAACCTCAATCTGACTAGAACACAAAATTTCAAAAAGGCATACTTAATAATAAGCTAATTTGCTCTCTGTATTTTCAGCCTGGTATATATCTATTCTGTACTAGAGGCAGGGTACACAGTAGCTTGAAAACATTAACCACCCCGCCTATCTGTGTCAGAACCTCCAAAATGGGATAAGGACAATATGTTCTACGGAAAAGGATTGGGAAGCTGTGGTCAAAAGACCTCAGTTCTCTCTCCTCCAACTATAGGAACTGAGTCTCTATCAGTGGGAGAAGTATGCCCCTGATATCACAAAACTGCTAGTAGGAATGGAATGAAATAATATCTAACTGATTTTTATACTGAAATGTGTAACAAAAATGACAGTAAATAAGATAGGAAATGTGAAAAATGAACAGGTTCTGAGCATGAGCTGTTAAGATTTGCAATGGTCCTGATCTGCAGTACATTTGTTACCTTTCAAATCTGCATTTTAAGCTAATAAAAATGTAAATCATTGTTCTATCTTCACATAGCAAACATCTTCTATTGTAACTATTTTTTATTTCCTTCTAGTTATTAAGAGCCAAGCCTACAAGATAGAACAAAGTTGTATGTATCTGGAACTTAAACATTCATATTCTAGGTCAGTGGTTCAAAACCAGGAGTAATTCGTCGCAGGGGACACATGCTAATGTCTGGGATATTTTTGGCTGTTCCAACTCTGAAGGGGGCTGCCTGTAGCATCTAGTGGGTTGAGGCCAGGGATGCTGATAAAAATGCACTGCAGGACAGCCCCCATGACAAAAAAATTATCAGGCCCAGAGTTCAACAGTGGTGAGGCTGAGAAATTTTAAGATAATTAGAATAAAATATTACAGAAAAATAAATGCTTAAAAGGCTTCTTGCAAAAATCATCAAAATAAAAAGATGGTTGTATTTGAATAATTGCATGTACTTTAAGTAAAATCTGCGCTTACTGATTTCTGTCCTTTTGTGTGAGGTCGTGTATTAAGTAAGCCACAACTGATTCAAGCAAAAGCAAAGTGTCACACAAGCAAGGGAAAATTATACACATAAGAAAGTTTGTAGACTGTGTAATGGACTATTGGCTATTTGTTTCAATAGTGGAATTTTCTCTTCAAAGTGAAAATATTTTAATATATATGACACCATAGGGTAGGATAAAAGAAATTAAATTCTCAGTAAGTCTAACTGGAGATATTACCATGAAATAATGATGAAATAAATTATGAGGCAAATAAAAAGGACTGATAAATTTATTTTTGGGTTGTTTTGGGCATTTATCATCAAATGAAGTTTTATAAAATAAATATGAAAAATCTCACCTCTTATTCCACTATCACAAATCCATATAAGATCATACTTTGCAACTTCATATCCTGGCATTAAATTGTTAATTTTAGGATTAATGCCAACCTTTTTGCCACCTAAAAATGTAAAAGAACAGCAGTAAAAGATTTATGAAATATTGAGAATTTTTTCTATTACAAACATACAGGTAAAGAGCAATAAAAGGTATTTTCATATTTAGTAATGTAAACAAATTTTCACATATCTTATTATTTCTTTGAAAATTCATGGTTTCAGTTTTCTAATTCTTAAATTATTGCATTAATAGTAAGTATGAATCAATATTTAATGATAACTATATGACATGATGGCAATGGTTGTAATACCAATGTGTTCAATACTTGAAAACTGCTGAATGTAGATTTCTCACCACAAACGTGTAGGTATTGCATATATTAATAAGCTTTGATTTAGCTATTCTACATTATTTCCATTTTTCAAAATATATTGTACACTATAAATAAATTTTATTTGTCAATTTAAAAAAGTGATAGAAAAAACTGTATGATTCATTTCAAAGCTGTGATAATTAAAAGAGCATATCAAAATTGATCATTTGGATTGAACAGAGAGTTCAAATCAGACCTCTGTTTAAAAAAAATTTTGTTTTTAAATAGCAAAAATACCTCTACAAGTCTTTAGAATAAGCTTCACAGGGTTTTGGAAAATACTCTTTTTACAATGCAACAAAAGCAAATTCTATTATACTCCCAATAATAGTCACATATAGAAAAGGCCACACATTGAAATGAGTAAAAGGTGATTCTTTTGTTGTTAATCATAGACATGAAAAAAACCTTTATTTTTATAATTTTTCTTGAAGGAGCCTGAACATCTTTCACTACTCCAAAAAAAAAAAAAAAAAAAAGCTTAGAACTAAAACATGCTAATAAATTCAATGGGGGACTAACACCTTAATCTGTAGTTTAACACAGAAAAGACTACAATACTTAATACTATCGAAGCAACATGGTTAGTGTAGAATTTGTTACTTACCTATAAATAATCTAGCATCAACATTTGGATATTTTCCAAGAAGCTTCTTACATACATCAATGGCTGGATCATCATGATCTTGTACACAAAGGAGTACTTCATACTAATCAAAGAGGAAGTTTTATATTAATTAACCTTTTTAAAAGGATGAGAGAAACAAGCAATTTTATATATAAAGTTTAAAAGTTAAGAGAGAATTAATGGATACAAACACTTATGATAACAAGTGTTACATAAATAGTGCTTTTTCCAGGACAGGGCAAGCAGAAGGAATGGGGAAGAGCCTGGCAGTGCTCAAGACTGAAGTCCTGGCACCCAGGACTTCGACAGGCATGGCTATTCAGGCAAACTGGATCCAGCCTGTCCATTGCCTTCACCATTGAAGACTTACTCAATGCTCCTAGGTTGTTCAGTAAAGTAAAATGCAACATTGACAGGAAGAAAAGTAAATACACCCTCCATTCTCTAGAAGCTTTGTCCCAGAACTTAGTTTTATTTCATGACGGTACTAGAAATTACAAATAAAATCCCATCATAATAAACTGAAAGGACAAAATGAGATTAGATTTTTTTTGTTGTAGAACTTTTAAAAATAAAATCAAATTTGATATAACATTTACTATCCAGAAAAGTGTACTTTGTTAGCTTTATAACTATGAAAATACCCATAATTTTATTTTGTTCAGTGCTGTGTTTAGTCAGAAGTAATTTCTTAACACTTGAATGGCTGTATCAAAATAACTCCAGAACATTTATTTAAAAAAAAAAGAATCGGGCCCTATTCTTAGACTTCTGAATCAGAATTTTTGGGAGTGATTCTGACACACAGCCAGGTTTATACAATCTTGAGCTAAAAACTCTTAAGTTACCATTTAGTAAACTACTAAATGTTTAAAGTGTTTGCTTTACATACAAAGATGTTACTCTATTATTTTGTGGAATATGTACTCTAAGTAGTAATTTTTTTTCAGAAGTGGTGACAGAAATTTATGCTGACTCAAAAACAAATTTCCTACCAAATCCTTTTTCTAAAACTGGCTCAATATTTTTTTTTTTTTTTTTTTTTTTTGGTGCCGGGTGTCAAACTTGGGACCTCACGCTTGCGAGGCAGGCACCAGAACCACTGAGCTAAATCCCCGGCCCCGGCTCAATATTTTTAAGTAGAGGAGGGAAGTTAATTATGTCCATGAAAAAGTAACAAAGCTATGTGCTCTAAAAAATACAAAAGAGCCAAGGACAAAGCATCTTAATTGTCTAACATGCAGGGTCCAACTCAAGTTAACAGCAAGGCCAATTTTATTTACTTCTATCGATGAGGATACATTAGTAAAAATGAAATGTTTACAGTGCCTTTGGACATAAAAATTAATGACTATTTACCAAAAAAGGGTTTAATTAACTAAGCTTGTCCATTGCCTTCACTACTGAAGACTTAAAAAATGTTCATAGCTATACAATGTGTACTTTCCACCTATTAATGTTTACTTTATATCCTATTCAATATCTGCCTTTACTGGTAATTGACCAAAATTATCACTCAAAGATTAAAACAGGGCTGGGGATTTAGCTCAGTGGCACTGCTCGCAAGCACAAGGTCCTGAGTTCAATCCCCAGTACAAAAAAAAAAAGATTAAAACCAATAGATATTTAGTCTCTAGATATCAGACCGAAATCTAAGAATGGGAAGAACATAATTTCTGCCATACCCTGGAAATTTCCCAAAGAAAGATTTCCCAAAGAGTCAAGTCTAAGCCATAAAAAGTGTCAGCCATCCATCCTCCTGTCCTGACTCTAAAAATACTTATTGAAACTATCAAAAAAGTAGTGCCCTTAATGACGATTAAAAATGGGCAAATGTAATAACTAGCATTCCTACTATGGTAAATTTCTCAGTTTCCTCCAAAGAATTTCTTTTTCTTTCCCCACTAAACAAAGTATAGTTGCTTTAATACTTTTCTAACTCATGCTATTTCACAGATACAGCAATATAATTTGATAAATTAGTTGGGCCAGGGATTTAGCTCAGTGGTTTCAACACCTGCTGCGTAAATGGCAAGGACCTGAGTTCGATCCCTGGTACCAAGAACAAAACAAACAAACAAACAAACAAATAGTACTCTCACTCCTGCAAGAGAAATTTTATAAAATATAATACTACAAATGCACTCAATGGGAAGAAAATAGCTAAACCAGTAAACTGGGTTGTAGCACAAGTATTTTGAGAGTATACAGTGTTAAGTAAAGGAAGTTATAAGAGAGGTGTAGTTTACCTTTACTGAGGTGTAAGGTTTAAATTTTTATTGATTATCCCTTTTAAACTTAGTATCAAAATAAATACCTTTTAATTAGTTAGAGTGCAGATGAAACTTAATTCATATTATCCAAAACATGTGCAGACACTTAAACCTGTAGCTTTTAGAATTGTTTAATACTAAAATTATATCAAATTGGAGGAAGCATTCCAAGTGTTTTCTAAGTGTCAGATTTTAACAAGGAACTTTCATTTCTCAGCTATGACACTTTTTGTCTACATAGTTTGATCAAACATTTTATTTGCTAGAAATCTCTGTATTATAATAGTTTAACCATTCGCACTACACTGCAACTGGTAAAATGCAAGGCATTAAATTGGTTAAAGGCTTTTCGTAGATAACACAAAAATAACTTTTCAGGTATTTTACACACTCAAAAGGTTTAGACACTAAATTAAAAAGCACAGTGTGTATTAAAATATACCTTTAAGATATTTAAAGAAAGCATTTACTTTATAAATCTGCAAGGGATATAAATTACAGTCAATTCTAATCTAAACAGGCATAATTTGAATATACGAACTCTAGACATGGACTCCAAGCTTGGGAGAAGGTTGGCCTCCCTCAAATCTTTAGTAAGGCTGCTGTACAAACAGCTGAACCGAATCATTTTCTCTTTTTCAACAGTGAAAAGACTTTTGACAAGATCAATGTAAAAAACTCACAAACTAATAACACTCAGCCGTTTGATATTTAAGAACTGAATACTGAACAATAATAGTGAATCTTTCATTTATTAGTAAATTTAGGTACATGAATAAGATATAAATGTATAAATATCAGAAAAACCTCATTAATTCAGCATTGTGTACCTTAGGATTGTAAATTTTTAAACTATAGTAAACAGGAAAAAATATTCTTTTAAAATTGTGTTTGTGTGTATGACCACAGTAGGTACTGAACTCAGGGAATGCTAAGCATGCAATCTACCACTGAGCTACATACACACTTAGGTCCCAAAGCATTTTAATGTCAGAATCAATTACAATGTATATCAATTAGGGATGTCTTGAAACATCTTGAGTTCTAATTTATAAATAACTATATAACATGCTCACAGATTTTATGAAAATGTTTGGATTAAAATAGAATATAAATTCCATAACAAAATGGATTTAGACCCCAAATGCCTATATTATTAGCTGGTACAGAGTAGGTGATAAATGTTTGTTAATTCATTTGTCCTGGGTAACTTCTTTTTTTTTGTTTTGCTTTCTGGGACAAGGACTCACTATGTATTCATGGCTGGACTTGATCCTCCTGCCTCTGCCTCTCAAGTAAAGAGATTACAGGGGTGCACCAACACCCTGGTAACCTGGTTAACTTCTAAGTGAAAGAATGATGTCAAGAAGAGGATGTTTGGGCTGGGAATGTAGCTTTGTACCACAGTGTCTTCCTGGCAAGCGTGAGGTGGCCCTGAGTTTGATTCCTAGTACAAAAAAAAAGATGTTTTTATAACAGAACCATTCTGAACAGTTTGAAAATGGCGTCCTCCTCGCAGAACGGGCTGTCTGCAGCGCCTGAGAAAAATGAATTTCATAGCCAGAAACCGAAGCCAGAGAACTGAGATGAATCAGAACTCCTCATTGTTCCTGATGGCTGGAAGGAACCAGCTTTTTCTAAAGAGGACAATCCCAGAAGACTCTTGGAGGAGCGCAGTTTTGCAACTTTGTTTCCTAAATATAGAGAGGCCTACTTGAAAGAGTGCTGGCCTTTGGTGCAGAAGGCTTTGAATGAACATCACATTAATGCAACCCTGGACCTGACTGAGGGCAGCATGACTGTACTACAAAGAAGACTTTTGATCCATACATTATCATCAGGGCCAGAGATCTAATAAAACTGTTAGCAAGAAGTGTTTCATTTGAACAGGCAGTACTAAATCTTCAGGATGATGTTGCGTGTGACATCATTAAAATAGGTTCTTTAGTAAGAAGAAATGAAAGATTCGTAAAAAGAAGACAATGACTTATTGGTCCCAAAGGATCTACTCTGAAGGCATTGGAACTCTTAACAAACTGTTACATTATGGTTCAGGGAAACACAGTTTCAGCCATTGGACCTTTTAGTGGCTTAAAAGAGGTTTGAAAAGTAGTTCTAGATACAATGAAGAATATTCACCCAATTTATAATATAAAAATCTTAATGATTAAACAAGAGTTGGCAAAAGATTCTGAATTACGATCACAAAGTTGGGAAAGATTTTTGCCACAGTTCAAACACAAAAATGTGAATAAATGCAAAGAACCAAAGAAAAAAATTGTTAAGAAAGAGTATATACCATTCCCACCACCACAGCCAGAAAGTCAGGTTGGCAAAGAATTGACTACTGGTGAATACTTTTTGAAGGCAAATGAGAAGTGATAGAAAATGGAAGCAATAAAGGCTAAAGAAGCAGAAGCTCTCAGTAAGAGACAAGAGGAAAGAAATAAAGCGTTTATTCCACCTAAAGAAAAGCCAGTTGCAAGGAAGCTTCTACTGAAACTAAAATTGATGTGGCTACCATCAAGGAAAAGGTTAAGAAAGCAAAGAATAAGAAACTTGGAGCCCTTACAGCTGAAGAAGTTAAGCTTAAACTGGAAACAGATGAAAAGAAAAAGAAGATAAAAAAGTAACATTAAAATACCAGACCTTGAACTGTTAATTTATGAATCTACCTCCTTTTGTAAAGGATTTTGAGAAACAGGGCATTAGTTGTCCTATAGTATTCTGATCACTTTTTTCTGAGTTTCAGTTGTTCATAAAATAGTACTTTTTATAAATATAAATTATTCTATTCTTCATGTATGTTATGAGAAATTTTGTGCTACAAAGTAGTATACATGTCGTGTATATTGTATAACCAGTTCCAGGCAGGTTTTACTGACACATGATTTTAGGAATAACTTTTTATTTTTTAGTTTTATGATGTGCATATGACTATTGTAATTATGCATTAAATCCAAAGAATGTCTGAACTGTTGGTTATTCTTTAAATATGCTACCGTAGCATTTGGTTTTAAGAAAAATAAATGCAAAATTTTCAAAAAAACCACTCTAAGTTCAAAATTTTGACTTCTCAAGAATGATTTGATTGGGCCGGGGATTTAGCTCAGTGGTTCTGGCACCTGCCTTGCAAACTCAAGGTCCAAGTTCGATCCCCATACCAAAAAAAAAAAAAAAGAAAAAAAGAATGGTTTGATTTACAGTTTTTCAAAGTTAAATTCCAAATCTTTCAAACTTCATTTTACTACATGCTAACGACTGTGCATGATCAAATATTTTTTAAAATTTTTAATTGTTAGACGACTACTGAGAGAGAAAAAAATTCTTGTATAGACGCTACACCACTGACAATGAAGGATCTAAAATATGGCTCTAGGGCCAGGGATTTAGCTCAGTTGCACTGCATCTGCCTCACAAGTGCAAGGTCCTGAGTTCGATCCCCCATACCAAAAAAAAAAGGGCTCTGTCTTGTAACATTTTAAACCAATTCTACATTTGCAAAACAGATCTCCCCTCCCATCACAATTACCACAGCCTCATTCTGTTAACTCTGACCATTAACTTAAAAATTCTCAATATGGCCTGAATTTAATGAAGTGAAACCAGCAAGACATTTTAGATACAGAATACTGAATCCTCCTGCTACTGCTGATTCCCCTCAAATCCCATCTATGCTGATGCCAAATGAGTACTTCATTTCATAGGAAATGAATTGCGCAATTTTTCTCATTCTTAGTTTTCACCCTCCAAAATATGTACCAATATAAAAATGGATTTATAAGATACTTAAAGCACAGAAATCTTTCAGGGTGATTTAGTACAGTCTCACCCAACTAACAGCTAAAAATTCAGAACAAGTACTACTGGTAAATATTCTTACATATATCCAAAATTAAAGTTTAAAACTTCTATATGCATTCAAAAATAAATTTCTTTTGGTCCAAAATGGCTTATAAATCTAAACAGAGGAGAAAGTAATATCCATAATAAAGATGTTTCTACACTCTGGTAAAATGATGTTCACATTCAAAGCAAATATTGAAGTGTGATGGGCCTGGCAGGCATGTGAATATTTTCTGACAACTTGCTTCTCTGGTTACACAAATACATTATCAGTTCACACTCTGATTTGTGTGATTTCAGTGGTTTAACCTTTACCATCTGGTGGAACATTTCTCCCCATTTGGTTTTTAAAAGAGCAAATGTTGTGAGATCAAAATTCTCCTTATACTTATGCTCTTTATAAAAGTACTCTGTACTTCTCCTCCGCTTTCCAAATTTTCTATTTACACAGATAACAATTCTTTTTAATTAGAAAGTAAAACTGTATTACACAAAAAAAATCTTCTGCATACACCATTATTCATCTTGTACTGAGTACCAAAATAGCTTTCTTCTCAACCAACTTAAATCCCTCAATGATATAATGTAAATGGAAAAAGACCTAAGTGAAACTACAGTTCTTGAGATAATTCTCAATTGTGATTTTTAAAACATTCATTCATTCAGAAGAAATTAAGTATCAATTCTTCCTAAATGTTCATAGTTAATGGACTCCCAGGGTTACTTTTTAAAACTCTGTATAATTAAAGTCTGTACTACCTTCTCATTACTTATCAACTCACAGTGGCTACAATATAAAAATTAAATGCTCAAGGATTAAGGTGATTAAATGGGAAAGGACAGGATGATGGTTACATACTGAAATGTGAGATTATTTTTCACAATGATTAATGCATATCATTCTAAGTTATGCTCTAAGACTTATTCATAACTAACAAAAATATTCTCTCATTAATAAAAATAATTTTCCTTTGTATTTACTTACACAATATAGGGCTTGAAAAACTTCCATTTTTATTACAAAGCTTACTGTATAATTAATTTTATTTATCATTCTGAATTATAAAAGGCCACGTTTTATATTTCTAGTTTAAAAGATCAAATACATAAAATTATATCTTTTTTTAAAAAAAATGACATTCACTTAAATGGATAATACATGTACATTAATTGAAATCTCTAAAATTATTACATGTAAACATACATACACCAGAAGAAATTAGAATTTTTTGCTTTAAATTAGCATTCAATATTGAAACTCCAAAATTCATAGTGATAAAAAAAAACACCAAACAAAACAAAACAAACTGAATGATATTCATTCTACATACTTAAAAAGAGATGCAGTAAGGCAGTTTTGGTGAACTTGTGGCACCCATGCTCAGAGTGCTGTTATCACTGAAAGCTCTAAAATGTTCACCATCACAGAATTAAGGCTATACATCAGTGTCTTTGCTATTCTTTTCACTGAGGCTACTGAGAAAAATAAGGGCTAAATGGAAAGAAAGTATGAAAACCAGTCACCATGGAAAGTGTAATTTATATATTATCTTCCTTCTCAATATGTAGGTCATATTGTTTTGAGGAAATAAGGAAAAATTTCAAGTAGCAAAAACAGCTATGAAAAAAACTGAGGCAATGGGGTAAAAATTTGAGGTAAATGAAGAGATTATGAAGAGAAAATTTAACTATACTGAAAATCAAACAGGTAGAATTTAAAGACAAGTTCTTCTTACAACTAATCTATTCCCTTTGAACAGCAGTGTCTCAACTAGGCAATTTATGAAGCTGCAGTAAAGCTAAATACACAAATCAAAGTTTTTCCAAGAAATAAGAGGTGAAATATTAAAGGGAAACTATAAAAAGAATACTTCTATCTCCAGAAAACTGGAAGCTCTTTGAGTACACTGAGTTTATAAATAGTACAAATTATATTGGTAAGTAGTCATGAGTAATACAATTAGGCACTAAAAATCAGTAAAGAAATTAAAAATCAGTTAAGTCGAAGTCCTACCTTGCTACTTACTGTAACCTATTCTTGGTTCCAAGTCAGTTAGTTTCAAGGGGATTCATGTTAGGCCTAGCTGTCTTGTGTCCCATTTCAGACCAATAAACCTTGTATTCTCACTATTGCTGCCTGCTCTCTCTGATATTTATATGTACCTCTCAAGGAGTGAGAGTTTTATGTTCAAACTACCAGCTCTTCACATGTCTCCATTCCAGGAAGTTTCCTCAGGGGTTTCTACTTCAGATGGACATGGGGCAGTCAGAAAGGGACTTCATACCCTTTCTCCCCATCCCTGTCCTGTGACAATTACTATTAAAGCTTAAACTGTATGAGGCCAAGCTCATGGTGAATCTTCAACCTTTTCCCCATAGAGAGTGTTGAAATTCCTAAGTATTTACAATGAGGGAAAAACAAACCCCTGGTCTACCCCATTCCTAATTAGTAAAACACTGTACTTACTTTGGGATAATCCAATTCAAAGAATGTCTCCAAGTTGTTGATTAGATTAGGGTCTACCCCTTTCAGTGGTTTCAGAAGCGACACACCTGGGAGCTTGCTATATGGCTGTTTGTCTGTTGCCTTCTTGTTGAGGTGTAATCGGCTGAAAAGCAAATGACATATAGATTATTAAAGAACATATTAATGCTACATCAAAATAAAGCACATACAACCTACCAATAAATTGCTGTGCTGCATTCTAAATTGTGACTTTTTTTAAAAAGCTGACATCTTTCCAAAGCAGAAGACCTGAAAATGAAGGGAAGCAAAACTAAGCAAGCTTCTACTTTAGGAAAGCCAGAACTAAGCAGAAGGAAAGTTCCAACAAAGATCAGAACTTAGATGTATTCTGTTTATTGTCTATTGCTGTGCTTGATTCTTAAAAACTATGCCAGACATAGAGGAGGAACCTTAATTCATAGTGAAGAAATAAATGACAGTGTTAGCCCACATATTATTGCCCTTCCTCTCAAACTACCATCAAAGTGGCCAAATAACTGTAAAAATAGGTAAAAATAAAATCACATATAGCAGAAAAATACAGAAGGATAATGAGAATGTTTGAGGAAATTCTATTATTAACAGTCCAGATAACATACAATTAAAAATGGCAAGCAACTTGCACAAAAACAAGAAAATGGGATCATCAAAACTCCCAATACTCAAAAGCACAGAAAGGCAGGAGTAGAACAGAGGGAAGTTACAAATAAGAAAAAAAAAATCACAATGAGAAAAATGTCTATTAATGACATGAAGATATTATCAGTGTCACCAGATAACAGAGAAGGTGGCCTGGTTCTCCTTGCTAGAACATTCCAAGGTGCTACAGCACAAGGTTCCTAATGAAGAAATCCCTGCCAGAGAAGAGAGAAGGTGGCCCAATTAACATCAGGCTATCTAAACAAGAGATGACATCCAGCAGAATGGTAGTTTCTAATGACTTTCTCTCCAGTTCTCATAAGCACATAGCAAGTGCTTCTCCTAATCAAGGCTCCAGGCATTCAACAGTAATCAGATGGTACCATCCGCAAGATGTTTTAAACACATGTTTTCCCACATTTTAATATCTTGAAATCAATGGCATCTTATAATTGCTGCCAGCCAGATGGCAGTCCTGACAGTACCATGAAAACCAACCAAAAAGACCTTCTTTTACCAAAAATGCAAACAAATAAAAAACCAAAACAAAACCACTAGAATCAATGCCTCATTGATTCAAAGAACTACACTTTGAATCTATGAAGCACTTCTGGAAGCATACCACTGCCATCACTAGATCAATCAGCTATAGGCTCATGCCCAGGAAATTAACCCTGGGGCATATAGTAGCTAACACCTTATGTTTTCAATATGGCCACAGAAACTTTTTATAGCAGTAAGTTATCTACAATAGAAAAATTTTTAATTGACAAAATATTTGGCATAACAGTGCTACCCAAAGTGTTGTACAAGAATTGCTTTTCAAGGGCCGGGGATTTAGCTCAGTGGTTCCACCGCCTGCCTTGCAAACTAAGGACCCGAGTTTGATCCCTAGTACCAAAAAAAAAAAAAAAAAAGAATTGCTTTTCACTGATCTGCAATAAGAAGATGAGCGAAAAGAAAGCTTTGGAAAGTTTTTTTTTTTGGTACCAGGGATCCAACTCCTTGTGCTTGTGAGGCAGGTGGTGGAACCACTGAGCTAAATCCCTGGCCCTAACCTTTGCAAAGTTTTACAATAATATGACATTGCCATGACACCCACACATCTGATCATCAATTTATTGTTTCTGTGGTTTGCCAAACTTATCAGTCTATGACAGATTGGAAAACTCTAAACAACTAATTCTTGGCCACAGATAGTTTGGAAAATACTGATCTACAGAATTCATCTAGAGGGCTACACAGAAACAAAATGAAATTCTAAAACTTTAGCCACAAAAATGATCACTCTCCCATTTCTAAGAAAACAGCAGACCAGGTATCTGGAGAAACCTATAGGACATGTAGAATGCTGGTTTGAAAAGTTCCTATCACACATTTAACTGATTGAACTAGTAACATGTTCACATGGTTGAAATCACTAAAAATATAAAGTGGTTCTCATAAAAGAAGCCAACTCTGCCCACCTCCCATCTACCTAATTCCAATGACTACTTCCACAGCCTCATTAATGTGTTCACAAAAGGGCCATAATTCATATGTTTCACTGCCTGGCTACTATGATTTCAATTTGATCTTTCTCACTGGCTTGAATCATCAGTGGTAGATGCATGACTGTCCTTATACGGTGGTTTATACCACTTCTCGGGAGGTCTTTGATTACAATAATGGAAAGAAAGACATTGATTTAGCAGACCAGATGTCATCATATTACAGTTCCTTGGTATAAGATTGATAAAAGTGATTAGATCTGTTTATATCAGTAGTGATATAAACTGCACAATGGGACAGTCATGCATGTACTACCAGTGGTCCAAGGCAGGAACATGTTCCTTATCTATCCTTCCAGAGATATTTTTAAATATATACAGGCCAGGGGCTGGGGATTTAGCTCAGTTGTAGAATGCTTGCCTAGCAAGCATGAGGCCCTGGTTTGTTCTCAGCATCAAAAAATTAAAAAGCAAAACATACACACACACACAGGCCAAAACACACCTCCCTATGTGGGTTTTGGGCCCACAGTGCAAAGTAATTGTGTTGCCTGAAAACCCAAGAGATGGGATGAGAGAAACCAACATCTATGATCATGAATATAGGAAAAGAACTACACAACACCTAGAAATAAAACTACAAGCTAGACTTCCAGAATTACTCAGAATGCCTCAGAGAGAATGAGAGGCAAAGACATAGAAGTCATGAAATAGTTTAACCTATGGACGACAGGATAAAAGGATCTAAAATCCCAGTAGTTTTCATCTATTTGGTCTCATTATGTGATTATTAAGGGCTAAGAAACTGTCTCAAAACACCAAGTGCTGACCAATTTACAGATAAACCCATTCCACTAATAATTCCATAGCATTTGGCAAGCTTTAGATTAAAAACATCAAAGAGTATCAATCATCTAAACTGCACTAGTCTCACAGCTTTAAAATTTTGGTAAAGTTCAGACTGCATCGTATTTCCCTTCTCCTTTATTAAGATGTTTTACTTTAAATAAGTCATTTAGACACTTCCATCCTATCCTCTAAAGAGCTCTTCATATTAAGAATGCAGTATTTTATCATAGATTCATTCTAACTGCTCAAACAATGAAGGTTTAAGGAAGAATTGGCATTATATTTGAAATTTCTACTCAAAATTATAAGCCAGATAATACTGTAAGACCTTTTAAAAATCTCACTTGTAATCTTCCTTTGTCTCTGTCTCAAGCTTTCTTTAGTATTTTATTTCCATACTCCAAGGGGTATGCTCGGAGTGTATCCCTTAGGGCACTGATGGCAAACTCAAACTGCAACCCCAAATCCCCTTTTTTAATCATAAAGTGCCAACACTGCAATTAAGCCCGAATACTGATGTCTTAGTTTAGAAAAAACAACTCATACATTAACATCTATTGTCCTAAAAGAAAAACAACATGCTAGGTTTGCCATCATTGCCCTTGGATAGGAGATCCTCCAAACATGACTGACAGCCCATTTGCTTGATGTCTCAAAAGTGGCCTCAGTGGTGCAATCCTCCAAGTGAGCCGGCTTTGAGTCTCTGACTGGACCCTACAGGTTTACCGGTTTCAAACCAGTTTTTATTGTATGTCAGTTCAGTGTTTCTGCATTGGGTAGACAGTATGAATTCAAGCCTATGGCATCTACATATTGCATGCATAGGATTTCTCATGGATGTCCACTTCTACCCTCTGCCTAGAGCAGACATATGACTTGCTTTTAGCCAGGATTCTGGGTCTATCACTTTCTCAGTTCCAGGTTCTGTACTGAAAATCTAGATCTACTCTCCTATCAGGCATTTGGCTCACAGCCTTGACCTTTTTGTTGATGCATAACATATTGCAAAGCCACACAAAAGTGTACACCTCAAAGACTTTCCCAAGGTGAAACTCCCTGTAACCTTCAGGCAAATCATGAAACAAAAGTATTACTAGAATCCGCAAGGCCCAGCATGTCCCCTTGTATTTACTCCTCCTATTTACTATCTTCCTCTTGGATAATCACTACCCTGACTGCTAACACCACAGACTCGTTTTGCCAGTTTCAAATTCTATGTAAATATAATTCCACTGGATACACCCTTTTGCGTCTGGGTTTTTAAAATTATGTTAGTGACAGTCATCCTTTCTGCTACATTTGGTTATAGTTTATTCTTTCTCAATTAAGTACAATATTTTTTGTCAATATATCTATCACATTTTACTTTCTGATGACAGAGAGTTGGGTTGTTTCAGTTGGGTGCTATCACAAATAGTGTACATCCTTGTCTCTGTCCTTACACAGTATTAAAAACAGCGGTCCCCCATCCCTTGAGCCTTTAACTTTTGGAAAGATGAAGAAATACAGAGAATGAAATTACTATCCTATCTGGAAAAATAATCAGACAAAATAAAGCAAACAAAAGTTTTACAATACAAGACATTAAGGAAGACAATGATTCCTGAGATATGGAAAACAAATGAGGTAAGTGCTACAATTGTCCCAACTCACTGCTTTGACACCATTTCAGGCCATGGTGCAAGGAAGGGTGAACCAGGCAGAGGAGGGGATGGAGTTGAGTACAGAAAAATGTTTGTCTGCAACATTGTCAGGCATACAAAGAACTAGGAAAATAAAAACAAAATGAACTCAGAAATGTTGCTGGGGGGTAGTTAAAAAAGAATTGTGATGCCTTATATACAAGTACATACTCTGCACAATGAATGTAATCACTACAAACCACAAACATATGCCATTAAAAAAAGAAACGTTGCTGGGATTAGAATTAGCAGACAAGACTGACTCACTGCTCTGCCTTCCCTCTTCATCTCTGGAACATGATGGAGATCTTCCTGTCTTGTTTTCAAGCTCTGTGTATTATCATTACAGCATGTCCATGTGTTTGGAATGGGGCAGGTGGTTCTAACAAGGCTATTTTCCATTCAGAAGTAATGTCCTAGCCTCTGCAAATGCAGCGTGATAT